TGTGTGTGTGTGTGTGTGTGTGTGTGTGTGTGTGTGTGTGTGTGTCCCTGCACGAGATCAATGTTTTAAGAACACAGTGTTCTCTGCAGAAGTGGGCCAGTGGGCGGCAACCGTCCCTCCCATCAACACACACGACAAGTTTCCAACTCTCTCTGTTTACATTCACATCAACTAATAACCCCCCCCCCCCCACACACACACACACACACACGCACACAAACACACACATACACACGACACATGCTGGAGTTCAACTGATGTGTTTTTAAAGGTGAAACTGGGTTTTTGTTAAAGATCCATCCAGAAATATTGAAAAATACTGATGATTGATAAATATTTGATGTCACCTAATTATTTGTGAAAAGCAAATCTGCTCTTTCTCCAGAATTTATGAAAATGAAACTTTTTAAAAGTGACACTTTCTTTGAAACAATTAAACTCTCAAAGAAACATCTCGTATCTCAAAGACGACGTTAAAATGTCTGAAGAGACTTAAAAAGACTCCCGACAGACTAGAAATCTCCTCATCGTATATTTAACAATCTCTACAAAGACCTTAAACTCACATTAACATTAAGACGCTCACTCCGGATATATCAGCACAGTGTCCTCTTCCACTGACTGATTCATTAAAGGTTGGTTCGGCGCCTCGGCTCTCTGCACAGCATCACAGTGAAGCAGTAATCTGCTGCTCTCCTGTCTAAATATAGCAGCATAATCTATGGCCATAATCTGGCATATTACTATTCCCACATGGCACTGTGACTGTCCAGCAGATAAGGAGGCAGGAACCACCAGGGCCACCCAGAGTTCACCACATAATGAAGAACAAAGAGCACAAACATCCTCGTCCTGCTGGTTAGGGGGAGTCTCTGGAGAACCTCCTCATGTCCACACTTTAATTTAAGGGTCACGTCCAACCTGCAAGAAGTAAGATGGTGAAATGTTCAGGCCTCTAAAGTGAAGCTTCCAATCTATTTCCATCTGGATGCAACGGATCATAAAACTCACGGATCAGATCAGCACAAAATAAAAAATGGAGCAAGTATAACTTTTAGTTCCCTGATACTAATTATTGATCACTGATGATCCATATGAACAGATACAGATCCCTTTGTTGTTTGATTACAGCAGCTGATCTACAAGGATCCGAATATTTATTATGTCACCGTCCTAAAAATCATTTCAACGCTCTGAAGTCAGTAAACCATCAAAAATACCAAATGTTCTACTCTTACTTTTACTTACCTACATCCAAGGAAATAGATTGTTGAGGCCTAAAGAGGTCAAACACAAAAACAAGCAAGGATCAGGGAAAAATTAATTGCATCTTGAGGTAATTAGCCTAGCTTAGCAGAAAGACTGAAAGCAGGGGGAAACTGCTAGCATGGTTCTGTCTAAAGCTCATAATAATAATAATAATAGTCATAAATAAATGTGTAGAAATGTAGGATGTGTTTTAAAACCTGCTCTAAACATAGAGATGAGAGGCCTGCTGGGCTCCGTGGGACACATCAGGAACCACAACTCAGCAACTCACCCACACACACACACACACACACATGCACACACATATAGACATGCACGTGTCGGGAGGTCTGTCAGTGTCACATTCGAGGCAGCGATGCGCATCATGTGCTGCTGTTTATCGCATGACGAAAACCAATCACAGGTCTTCCTCTAGCAAAAATCTGAAAAAGACCTGTGATTGTGGTTGAAACGTCACTAACACATTTAAAGGGAGCTGAGACTCCAGCGTGCAGTTCATGTTTAAAACCTGAACCTTCATCTTAAAAACAAGCCTTTAACCTTCTAACAGTCCTTTAAACCTGCAGTGCAGAACCTTTGTCTCCCCCTCTGGCAGTGAGCGTAATTACACCAAACATTCATGTTGTTTATGTCGTATGTCTGCAGGGGAGCTACAATGCTAATTTGTGTTTGTCCTCGCTGCCCGTAGCTTTCTTTTTTTCCTGCGCTTCAGCTTTAATGTTCAAATTGAGGACCAACTAAAATGTCCTCACTAGGAGGTGAAGAACTATTGGTCCCCACAAAGATAGACATACCGACACTTACACATACACACACCTGCACCTGACAAATTTAAGTCTGTTTCATCAGAATTATCAGACTAGGTCAAAATAGGAAGTTTAAAGTCAGAAGTATGAGATAAAACACACTTTAAGAGAGTTTTTAACTAAAACTTCTCTGATAATGAGTGAATAGGTTTTAGATAAAAGTTTTAAACTGTTAAATTGTGAGTTTTAAAATCCAATTTAAGATAACGTATTATTACTTATTATAATTTGTCATAGGGACTAGTAATTTTTACTTCAGTTTTGTTCCTGACTTTACTCATTTAGTTATTTTTTTGCCTCAGACGAGCTTCCATACAACCCTCTCGATATTTGTTGAAAGCTAACAAGTTAAAAGTTCCAAAGGCTCCATGTTTTTTCTTTTTAATGCGATTATTTCCGGCAGGAGACTTTATTTCTGTAACAGCTTATAAAACACAATCAGGAGCAACTTATCGACGATCAGAAGACGTTTCAGGTCTCCAGCTCAAACGTATCGGTTCTGACCGCTGCAGGGTGACCACTTTGTTTAGTGCTTTAAAGACCCTGATTTTTCTCCCTCTAGGCCTCCCGAACTCCAGAAACACTCCCAGCCCCATCGACCCAGACTCCATTGAGGTTCCCGTCGGGTACGAGCCCGACCCGGCCGACCTGGCTCTGTCCAGCGTGCCGGGTCAGGAGATGTTCGACCCACGCAAACGCAAGTTCTCGGCCGAGGAGCTGAAACCGCAGCCCATGATCAAGAAGGCTCGCAAGATCTTCATCCCAGAGGACCTGAAGGTAAGTTGGAGCTGGTTCTGACCCGATCTTTAGAGTCCTCTTCTGAATGTTATGTTGAGAGATCTTCTTGTTATGCAACACGAGCTGATTTCCTGTCTAGAATCTGTATGACATTGACTTACTTACTGCGTCTCAAAGCAGAAAAATTCAAACAATTCAGATGCTTCTGGTGAGAAAATCAAATAGTATATCTATATAAATGTATCTCTATACATATATATAGATATAAACATATATAGATATATAAATGTATCTTTATATCGATGGGGCACACAGATTGACCCATTAGCGGTGATTATTAAAGAGAGTCTTTTGTTTGGTTCTGCTCTCCTATTGGTCCTCTCCTGCTGGTTAAGAGGCTTAAGGAGAGAGGATTCGGCTTTTAATTTGTTCAAACAGAGAAGTGCATGTGTGTGTGTGTGGCTGCGAACTCCTCGATAGAAGTCGTATTAAAGCTGCAGTCTGCGATGTCTGACCACTAGAGGGCAGAAAGTCGCATTTGTTTAATCAAAACAGAAATATAAAAAACTCAGAAGCGTGTTCATCAGTGAGCTTTAGAGGTGCTTTTAGGTGCATTTGTAGCTAGCAGTTTACCCCTGCTTCCAGTCTTTATGCTAAGCTAAGCTAACCCCATCCTGATTGCAGGTCTGTGCTCAGACATGAGATTCATCGTAATATTCTCACGTAACTCTCAGAAAGAGTTAAATTATTCCAACCTTTGCACCACTTATCTAAAGCACTGATTAAAAAAATGAAACTATGTATAAAAACTCTGTGTTTTTATACAAACTCTTTGTTGTGGTCTTACTGGACTCTAGTAAAACTTGATAAAGTGACAAAACTACGAGTATCCTCCTCTTTTTTTCACGTCTCCTCTCTCCTCCCTTCATGTCCTTTGAGCAGGATGACAAATACTGGGTCAGGCGCAGGAAGAACAACATGGCGGCCAAGAGGTCCCGGGACGCCCGGCGGCTGAAGGAGAACCAGATCGCCATCCGAGCCTCCTTCCTGGAGAAGGAGAACTCGGCTCTGAGGCACGAGGTGGCCGAGCTGAGGAAAGAGCTTGGACGCACCAAGAACGTCCTGGCCAAGTACGAGGCCAGCACGGGCCGCTGTGAGGACACACACATATGAATATATAAATATATGAGTATATATGTATACACAACAACACTCCTCCTGATCCACCAGCAGCCCTCCTCCACAGTCCTGAAGGGTTGAGTTCATCCTCTCTGACTTTGACCGGTTGGTGGACGACCAATCAGATAAAAACTCACTTTGACTCTTTACAATCTGTTTCTTTTCTTGGTTCCCTTCTGAAGACCTCAAGCTTTAAAAACACACAAATAGTTTTTTTCAAACAAACGGGAGAAAATAATGACTTTGTTGGGGACTATTTTCAGCGGCGGATTAATCCACAAAACGTCTTTATGACGTCCCCGGTTTTGCCAGCGGACGTTGTGGCTGTGACTCCTCCCACGTTTGACCTCTGGCCCCGCCCCTCCCCCAGTATAAGATACAAAGGCACTTTAGAACCGCCGACGCCTCGCTCTCTGCCCGACTCCCCCTCCCAGACCCTGTGCAGGTGTTGTTCCCACAATGCACCTGTCCACATGTACATACCAGCCCCTCATGACTCGCTGTTGTGTGGTGAGTGTTGTTGTCGACTGTGGAATCACTTTAGAACTCTTTACTACAGACCAACAGGATATATAAAGGACATACTGATATACAAATATATATATATTGAAGGTTTTAATGTTTATACAGAGATATTGTTTTTCTACATAGATATTTCCTGTGTATCTTCCTGAGGTACATAGATATTAAACATATAAATATATTAGGAATGTGCATTTCAGAACTCCTCTCAGCTTGTGTAGTTCAAATACCTCGAAGCCTGCGTCACACCTGAGCAGCTGTTTCCTACATGTGCTCGCACAACCAGGAGCCTCTTTGTGTTCATTTCACTTTTCTCTTCGTTCAAAGATATTTTGTTTTCCTATTTTGGGTCCTTGATTATGTTTCTCATGATCAATAATAAAATAAATGAAGATTCAAATCCAGCTTTTGTTTCAGTTTTTGGATGTTTTAGGTTTCAAAGGTCTTTTATAAAAAGCATTCAAATGAGATTTTAAAAACATCATGAAATGAAATATAAAATGATACAACAAAAGAAATATCAACATGTCTAAACAGAAACCTGCAGCTGATTAACACTTAAAATAATAAATGAGCCACTTATGTTGATAAAAACATGAATTTATTATCGATGAATCATTACATTTTCATGTAATCATCTTTCATCAGTTTAATTATAATTTACATTTAAAAAATAACCAAACTAAAGACGAATAGAGACAAAACATTTCACTTTTTATTTGTAATTCTAAAACATTTGGTTTCATGTAATTATAAAATGTGTTTTCGTTGTTTCAAGTAAAGGCTCATGGTTATTTCTCCCATCATGCACCAGCATAAAGTCCCTTTTATATGAATTATATTAAACATCGAGGAGCAGAACATGTGGTCCCGTTGCATGCTGGGAGGTTTCCCAACACACCTTCCTCATGACTCCCAGCATGAGGAAGATGATGAATATAAAGCACCAGCAGGGGGCAGCACCTCCCCGCAGACTAAAGTCGCTTATTATTCTCACATGTATCAAGAACATAAGAAGAAATCTTAATCTTAATTAAAATGTCTTGTTTAATGATTATTATTCATATTGACTTCAGTACCACACGATAATAAAACGAATAAAGTAAGCTCTGGAAATATCATGAGATAAATTATCAAAAGATCTCTATGAAAACATCTGTTGTTGCAGACACAATATCTTAGTTGTTAACCTAAATCCAGTTGTTTAAAAATTCTTAAAAATTCTTAAAAATAATTATGAATAAATAAAATGAAAAAACACGATTATCTTCTAATTTAAAACAAACACAATGAGACTTTAAGGTCTGAAAAACATCAAATCTTACAAACCAAAAAGTACAAATACCTCAAAACCGTAGTACATTACTTGAGTAAAAGTATTTTCACAACAGGAAGTGAGTTTATATTATTTTCTCAGTGTTAAATGGAGCATCAGATGTATTGATGAAACATCTAATATGAAGTTACCCTCATTGTTTGATCAACTTATTGTTGCTTCACTTGTGAACAAAGAGACGTCTCAGACTCAATAATCTTTTTCTTTTTATTACCAACGATCCTCCTCAAACATGTGACAATTAAATCAGAATTAAGTAAATGTCTGCAAAAAAATAACGTTTTCAATTTATAGAAAAATGATTAAAATATGAGACAGAGAACCTCTCTGTGTCTCTCCACCCTCTCTCCTGTCTCTCGCCCTCAGAGGTTCTTCATCTCGCCGCTGATTGGGTTTCACTCTGCACACCTGTCTGTCATTAACACACCTGTCTGTCATTAACCTGTCTGTCATTAACACACCTGTCTGTCATTAACCTGTCTGTCATTAACACACCTGTCTGTCATTAACCTGTCTGTCATTAACACACACCTGCACTGTGTTATATTAGGAACAGACTCTTTTCTTTCTCTCTTCTGTAACATCACATCGCTGCAATGATTCACAGTCTCTCCTCTAAAAGTGAATTCAGGGAAACATTTCAGAAGACACAAAGTCTTAAAGCATTAACCAAACGGATTCATTTTGTGTCCTCTAATTATTTTGATACTTAATGAATGAATAAACAGAAGTCCTGTCTGTCCACATCAACACTGACAGTGTTCCTCCACAGATATACAATAACATATGAAGCTTCAACTTGTTTCACTAAGAGCTGCTGATTATTAAAATCGCGGATAATAATCCTTCTTTTCCTTTGAAACTCCACCTTTTTCTGAGAATCTGTGATGTTTTCTCTGAAGATGAGAGATGATGATTAATAAACTCACGAGGTGAAAGAATCCGGCAGCTTGTTCTCTGCCGGATGAAACACGAGCGTTCATTCTGTCTCATATTTCAGCCTCTTTAGCGCTCCACTAAGTTGAAATTGTCATTATGTAATACCATTTTCTCAAAGTGAAAGAGAGCAGATTAGGATATTCTGCTAATCCCACCGGTTCAGAGCGTCACACGGTGACAGCGGAGCACTTTGTTAGTGCCGCTCTAAAACCTGGGAGTTCATGAAATGTATGAAAACACAGAGAAGTCCTGCAGGATGCGTTTGAGTCGTGTTTCCTGTTTTATTCCCTCACAGGTTTACATTTAAGAAGAGAATGACACGAGTTGTTCACTTTTAGTTTTAGGACAGTTTATATCCAATAAAACTTCTTCTTCTTCTTCTTCTTCTCATCATGTCTCTTCTTCATAGATGTTTCTGTTTTCATCAGTTAAGTTAAATCTTAATGCACATTTTAAAAGTTCTGATCACAAACTATATGATTCAACAATATTTAATCTCTGAAAATAAACTTACTTTGTACTGTTGTTAATAACCAGCTTCCATTTCTCTGTGTGACATGAAATCACCAGATTTGATCAAATTATCATTTGAGTGTTGAGCAGCAACCATTGATAATAACTCAGCACGTCTGAAGTAAACAGACGTTACGTTACTCTGCATGGACCCCGTCATCAACTGAGCCGTTTATTCCTCCATCAGCCAACGACAGAGATAAGAAATATTAAAATAAGTATTTCTGCTACTAGTACTTGATGTGGAAGTCTCAGATATCCTGGAAACTGAATGTCTTGTCTGGTTCATGACATCATCCTGAGGAGTCTTCACTGAATCTAACGAGACACGTGAACCCGAAACACTCTGATTCAGCTGTGATTTAACTGCAATAAACAGATCAATAAGATGCTGAAATAACTATATAATGATGCAGATTTGTAAAAAGTCTGAAGTGCGTCACTACTTGGTTAAGTTTGGTAAAATATTGCGGTTTGTTTGGTTAAACAACAACATTGAAGTAGAGACATAAATGATGCCCATGGGACTCGATCAGCGGTCTCCTGGGTGAAAGTCCTGTTTGTTTGACTTTGTGTTACAGATGTTATAATTTCTTTTGTTGATTTTACTAAATTATTTTATTTTATTTATTTATTTATTATTTTTATCATGTCGACTTTTTGTCCGTTTCATCTAATGTTCTGTTTTATTTTGGTTTAACTGCCTCAGTGGTCGTGTTTTGTTCTCTGTTGATCTTTCTGTTGTTTTATTGTTGTCTTGATTCTTTGTCTCTGTTTTTAAAGGCGCTATATAAATAAAGTTATTATTATCATTGTACGTCAGAAACAAGCCGGGAGAAAATACCCGGCATTAATAAACCCGGCTATGTATAATATCTGGCGGTTGAAAGGTCTCATTGAAGCGACATCAGTGAGCTCCACTTCCTGTGCTGGACGTGCACATGGATCAGATGAATGTAATCGTCACTTTGTAAACTTAACTTTCATGTTCTGGGTCTAAAGGTCTAAAGGTTCTGATAGGTCACATAATAAGAAGCTTATTTCACCACACTGGTCATCACAAAAGAAAACACTTCAAGAAATACAGAAACATGTTGTTTTTATTTGATTTAATTTGAGTAAAATGACTGAATTAAGTTTGACTGTGTTTTGAACTTGTATTTATGTTCATTCATTGGTAGTCGTGGGAGTGTTTGATGTGAAGTAGCTGCTTCATCCAGAACGAAGCATCTCTTCTCTTTATTATAATGAATTCTGCACACGGCCCCCGATAAATAAATGTAATGTTGTCTCAGAACAAATCTCTCGTTACTTCACTGAAATGTTTGTTTTCAAATTATTGCCTCATGAATTTTAACGAACCTTAATGTGAGAAAACAAAACATTCAAACTCTAAAGCTGAAATCTGCTTTTCAAAGAAAAGTTTGAAGATAATATGAACGTGTTGTAGTTCACCACCACAACACGTTCATATTTTACATCTTTTATGCACATCAGTGGTTAAAATTGTGTTTAAGTGGACAGAAAACTTTTGTCGTTTCTTTTTGGGTGTTTTTATTCCAGTCGTTCATTTTAAACAGCTTTTCATCAGAAGCCCTGTGATCTGACGTCACAGACGGACCAACAGACGGGTTGTGCTCGTCCAGGTTTTTTTGCTCAGATCTTTCGTTGCGTGCAGCGTTGGCGAGCCCGGTCCCTGAGCCTCATGTAGGCATCAGATGAGCCGCCGGGTCAGGCCTGAACACGACGAAATCCAAGCCTGTTGACAACCTGCAGCTTACATAACCCCTCCCCCCATGGACAAAACAACCCAGCACAGGGCAAAGACAAATACATAATACACGCACCTAATACTCTGCGCCGGGCACCATATAATCCACAAACATGGAATATGGAGGGGGGGTAATTGTGCGATTCATATTATGGATGGGTCGCAGCCATTGGTGGGTTGCTCAGCTGGCTGTGTGCTGTTTTTTTTTTTAATGTAAGAGGATTTGGCCTCTGTGGCACGAGTCCTCCAAAGACTCAGGGTTGGATCATCCAGTCGGACGGCGCCAGAGCCAATGAGCAGAGGCGATGACGGCGGCCTGACGTGGGAGGCGAGAGTCTTTTTGGTCCGGGAGGGATTTGGTCGTTTCAGGAAGGAAGAGGGATTAGTTTGCCATTTTTTTGTGTGCACAGAACAAATGTCATTTAGAATGAGTCAAAGAGAGACGAAGGATCTGTTCTATACAGTGTCAGTGCTTCAAAACACGGGACAGCTTGAAGCCTTCAATCCCGAAATGTAGATGGTCTGTAGCATCCAACGAATCATGAAACAAATCTGATCCCAGGTTGTCTTTTTTGTGATCATTTCACATTCAGGAATTAAAACTTAAAACAGATGGTAACACTCATTTTATGAGCACCCATTTAAGAGAAAAGTCAAATCACAAGAAACCAACTGACATTCACCATTAAACAACACCTCACGCTACGTAGCGTTCACCAACAGGTCCTGATGGGTCCAGAAGACTCCGGATGTCCCAGCTGATATTTGACTTAAACTGGTTCATGTCGGACTCGTGTCTTGTAAGCCAATTTAGTGCAGGACACTCAAATCAACACATCAATGAATCAATCAATCAATGTAGGAAGTCTCTGGGTCCTCAGCAGCCTCTGTCGGCAGGAAGTTGAGGGGCTTCTGGGAGTTTTTTCAGCAGGTGTGTCCGAGTCTCCTAAAAAAAAAATAATGAAAGAAAAACATGTATTAACATTTAGCAAATTAACTTTCCTCCCACTAAAATTAGTTTTCATGAAGGTTGGCAGCCAGAGTTCATTCTCGACTTTTTGACCGTTATTCAAATAACAAACCTAGAGAATTGTTCTGCCTTTAATGTTTTCTAGTTGGTAATCATTGCATGAAACATCTCAATAACCGTTTGATTGGTTTCTATGGTACAGATATTCCTGGTCCCTTGAGGATGAATCCTTCTGACCTTAATGACTTTGCATCTATCCCTCTCATCTGGTCACAATTTTAATTAGTCCAACACAAACTGATGACACTCCCATCCTTTCTCTTCAAGAGATAAACAGATTACGTTTCCTTCGTGTTGTCTCAGTTGGAGAAACAAACATCAGCTTCATCCAACAAATCTCTCTTAACGCCAACATCTGCTGCCACACACGTAAACCTTAACCCTGTACCAAGAGCCCACCAAAGGGTTAGTTAGTCCCCCCGCCCGGCATACGTCAAAGTAATGAGTGACGAGCACGCATCTGTCCGTCCATTCATTATTTCCCTGTCCAGTGAGGGTTTATGTTGTCGTTTCAGTTCATCTCAGTGATGGAGGGGGGGGGGGGGTCAGGCAGCAGATTTACAGGCTGGTTCAGACCTTCATGCAGCCGGACGAAGAGCTTTGAGTCTGGGACCTCAGGGTCCAGAGTTTGTGGGGGAGGGGAGCCAACGCACTCACAGTCTGGTCCTGATGATGCTCCTCTTCCCACTCTGTGAGTCACTGGTTTCTACATGTTATTCACCGCTTCACAACCGCTTCAGGTGAAAGTTCAGGAGGTTCAGACTAAAACGCAATCATGATGGTTGGTTTTTGAAGCTGTTGGTTGTGGTTCTGTTGGTTGATCCACCACTTTGGTCCAGACTGAACTCTCTCACCTACCATTGTAAAACCGATTAGATTAGATTGTTTCAGATATTCATGGTCTCCAGAGGATTTAAACCGAATGACTTTGTTGGTCTTCTGACTTTTATTCTACTGAAAGCAGAACGTCAGATGTAAATATCTTATGATAGATGTTTTACAATTATTTAGCACCAACAGAGTGAAATGTCTTAACAAATATTGACTAAATCCTGTTTCCCAGTTTGTTTTTCCAGTTATGTTTTGAAGAAAAAACAAATTGCTGCGTGCATTATGTCCAATGGCAACGCTGTTTTAAGTAAAGGACACTATGTTTGTCTTCTGCACGGTCGGGTTTACAAAGTTCAGGACTATAACACGGGAGACTCAGAGTTGGTTCAGTTTCAGGTTAGAAAAAGGTTGTGATGTTGAACCAAACACCTTTGAACACCTTCAGAACAAAAACATGCTAATTAGGAAATGTCTATTAGATTGATACGTCATGTAATCATCATATTTTCGACTTCTAAACTGATGTTTTCATTGCGATAACCCTGATTCTTTGATCTTTCGGATTGTTCAGGAAATGTTTTCATAGTTCACACTGAAATAACCAGCTCTGGACATTTTTCATTGGTTTCCATTCAAGATTCCTTCTTTTCAGTTCACTTCTTGACAAACGTGACAAAAGCTTTCTTGGGTTTCAGACACAGACTATCTCTTCCATGTGATGCTTCCACTTTGTGAGAGGGGAAAGTTTCCACCGGTAGTTTCAGTGAGAACTCATCTATACCATCTGTTTAAGGCATCCAGAGGTCGTGTGTCTGTGGGCGGGGCGTCGACGTAAAGCTGCATTAGACAGCTTTACATAAGGTTTAAACATGATTTACACAAAACATTCAGACCATGTTGGTTTAACAATGTTCCGACTGGGTAAGTAATTATCTTCTTGCAGAACTCAGCATGGACAGAACATAAGCAGCTGTGGAGCCAAAACATGTGAGAGCCTGTGAGTTTGTTTTAAAATCTCTGTCTGTTTTCAGAACAAAAAGTGAGGAAATTCAAACATTTAAACGTTGAGAATCCAGTACACATGGTCTGTTCACATTTTTATCTCTATTCATTAGTCACTAAAAGTGCTTTTTAATAATAGTGAGAAGAGCATCAGAGTTTAACACAAGAGACAGGAGTTCATATCCTGTCACAGACCTGCAAATAACATTTTATTGTTATTTTTATTCACCACAACCTTTCGCTAACCTTAACTAAGTGTTTTAGTTTCATAACCATAACTTAACCATAGTTTATTAAATGATCTTTCCCTAACTATAATCATACTGTTGAAAGCAAGAATCTAAAAAAACGTATACAGGTTTGGCATTATTTTCCAATGTCAACATATAGTTTGAATAACGTCAAACTGAAAACAGTTTTATAAAAATCTAAAGCTATTTATCGAAACTTCAGTATCTTTTAAAAATATACACAAGAATTCGGTGTCAAAAAAAGAAAAGCACTTACATTTTGCTTGTCTCTTATTTTTCTTGTGATCAGATATTTCCACATTCAGATCAGAATGTTGTGCATAATTAAAGTCCATTTTCATGTACTGACGACATTAAAACTGATGCATTGAGGAATTAGGTTATTTAAGCTCGTTGTCATTCCCAGGGCGGCGAATACTGACGTTTTGTTGCGGTGCCATACCTTCAAGTAACTCTAACGTGAAGGCGTTCGCGACAGTATTTGTCCTGAAAACAATATGAAAATAACAATAACTTTGAGTAAACTAACTTTCCTCCTTCAAATTCTATCCAATCAGTTTTCATAAACGTTGACATCCTTGATGTCTGCTTGATGAAATTGTTTTATGTCAGAAAAATCCAATTTAATCTGAACAGAATGAGGACAAACAAACAAGACTTTCACCCAGGGGACCACAGTTTGTATCCCATGTGAAACCTCAAATTACACACTGAATTATTTCATGTTATATAAAGTTATGTACTCAAGCCATGTACATAATGCAGTCTGCGTAACTGAAGTTACCTAACAAATGTACTTATTTGAACCCAAAACCACGATCTTTTCCTAAATCTAAGTGACATCAAAGGGGTTCCTGACCAGGTGTATCAGTCTTAAAACAGTCTTAAAACAGAAAATATTGCATCTATCCAAAACCACCAATAGAAACATCAGGTTTTAGACAGTCCTAAAATATCAGAGAGCAAAAGTCTTACCACAATAAAAAAAATCTACTTTTCATTTGATTTCTCGAGAATCAGCGACCACTACATCTAACTAATTAATCAGGTTTTGATTTGCTGTTAATCTGATTATAACAGAATGCGACCAATCAGCTGCTCAGACCTGGACCTGGATTTAGGTCGAGCACTCAGACACATATCAGTAATAATTGATTTCCATGCATTTGCTAATGCGTAATGGATTACAGTTGGAACAAGTAGACTGTGGCACAACATGAAACAGTATGTATGGGACCGACAGATGCCCTTGACACACAATGAACTGTAATATATGAACGCACACAGATGTTCACGTGCAGGATGATTTGACAGATGTTTTTGTTATTTCGTTTATTTTTTTAAATTTACATTGACTTTGACGTAGTTTTGTTCTTGTTTTGAAGGATTGATAAATAAAAGTGTTTTCCTTTTTCTTGTTATTTATGATTATTGTACCATAGCTGAAGTTGATGAAAATAGTATTCTGGTAAGCAGATGTGTCAAGTTTAACCCATAAAAGCCCACCAGCCCCACACAAACATTCAACATTCATTCTAACCATGAGCTAAACTCATTCTAGTCTTCACTAAATCACAAAGACTTAAGATGAATGAATGAAGCTAAAAATAAACGGCTTAATTTAGGGGAAACCATTTTCTCCATCCCTGTAATGCAGGAGTCCTCACAATGTAGTGTGTATCCCAGTGTCCCCACAATGTCAGTGTGTATCCCAGTGTCCCCACAATGTCAGTGTGTATCCCTGTGTCCCCACAATGTCAGTGTGTATCCCTGTGTCCCCACAATGTCAGGGTGTATCACAGTGTCCCCACAATGTCAGTGTGTATCCCAGTGTCCCCACAATGTCAGTGTGTATCCCAGTGTCCCCACAATGTCAGTGTGTATCCCAGTGTCCCCACAATGTCAATGTGTATCCCAGTGTCCCCACAATGTCAGTGTGCTCTCAGGTTTTAGATAATAACTTGATTAATTGATAAGTTGATTGACAGCAAATTAAATGACCATGTTAAGAACTGATTTACTGTTTAAGTAATTTATTAAAACAATTGTAAATGAGATGGATTTGTTTGTCACCGTGTACAGCAATTTTAATTAAATTTTATAACATTTTATAGATTAAAAAACCAAGTGTGTTCGAAAGAATAATGGTTGTAAAAATAATACTTTGGGTCCAAGTAATGTGATGTAAACCAGAGGCTCAGACATTCATTTTTTTGTGGTCGGCAAAATGTAAGCACTTAAATATACAATACAATAATTATGTCATAACTTTAGCTGGAATAAGTATTTCTTTTTTGGTAATATGAGTATTAGGTTGTTACAAACGGTATATTATATATTGTTTTACCTTATATTTTGGGAATCATTTTGTGTTTGAGGTGTACACTGAAGTGTTTGAAAAAAATAGATAATGAATGCATGAAATATAGAAACTGAAGTCACTATTATACATATTCTGTTTTCCAAACAGGTCTTGTTTCGCAAATTTTCATGTTTGCAGGCAGCGGGGGAGGGGAGAGGGGGGTTATAAAAAGTTTTGGGTGGACTCTTCTGGCTGCTTACCTCCTGCTGACTCGTCAAAGACAATCCAGATGTTTTAAAAAGTAAAAATAAAGAACTAAAAACACATCAGTACAAAGTGACACCTCCTCCTCCCTCCCTCCTCCTCCTCCTCCTCAGACCAGAGTACTCCTCTTCTCTCGTTCCCTCTCTCGTTCCCTCTCTCCTCGGTCCCGGCTCAGGTCCGGCGTCGGCAGCTCTCCGTGGCCCGAGGCCGTGTTGTTGGGCTCGTAGCGGGCCGAGGCCGGCGAGTTCTGCATGACCACCAGGCGGATGGGCGACTGGCTGGGCGGCGGCGGCGCGATGTCGGGTGCGTACTCCTTGGTGGGGTCTTTGCCCCGGCAGTCGTACAGGATGCAGGAGATGAGGAAGACCAGCAGCAGGATGACATAGCTGGCGACCAGGATGATGAGGTTCAAGGTGACGGGGTCAATCTCCAGGTAGAATTCCATGAAACCCATGGCGCCGCTTCATATCTCGCCCCGGAATATCCAGAGGGATGATGGGTAAAAAAAGAAAATCAGAAGGAGAGAATATGGAGAGGGAAGAGAGGTGGCAGCTAAAAAAAAGACTGTGATGATGGACAGCTGGCAGCAGAGAGAGGAAGAGCAAAAAGACGGCAGAGGGCGGCAGCACAGAGATGAAATGAGAGGATGAGAGAGAGGGAGAGAGGGGATGAGAGAGAGAGAGAGTGAGAGAGAGAGGGAGAGAGGGGATGAGAGAGAGAGAGAGACAGAGAGAGAGGGAGAGAGAGAGAGGGAGACAGAGAGACAGACAGAGAGAGAGAGAGAGACAGAGAGAGAGATGGACTGTATGTGAAGCTTTGTGCTTTAATCCTCTCTTCTCCTCCATTGACTGTCAGCAGCCAATGATTAAAGCTGCTGAGTTTTTAATAACTTACGCCACCATTTTGATTTTACTGAACTACACAACAGCAACAAAATGGAGGAAAAAGGGACTTGAACCAAACACCTGTCAGTTTGCCACGAGCATCACTTTGGGGGGATTTTAGGGAGTCATGTAATTTATTATGTCACTCCGACTGATTCTTTTTTTTTTACATTTGAAATCAAATGAGTTTAAAAGCACATCAGGTCACATCGACAGGCTGCAACATGTTAGCATGTTAGCACGTCCTGGTAATGGCAGCTACAGAGGTTTTATTATAACTAATTAATCCTCTTTAACGCCCTACTTTTGAGAATAAAGTCAAAATAAAAAGCAGAGAAAAGTTGGTCAGATGATCATGTGGCAGATCACTTATTGATAATATTATAAGTTTACACCAAGTAGTCTGCTGTTATTTCATTCCCTTATATTTATAATTTGTATTATTTGTAAATAATAATAAATTCACTCCTTCAGTTTATTATTGTTTAGTTTGTCCTTTGATAATATGTCTCTCACAGTTTGATATTGATCTTATATGAATAAACTCACAGTCACACCATTTTGTTTTAAATTTGACGTCCCATAAATGTATTTTAATGATATAACAGATTGTTTTATAGTCAAAACTTTAACAATTCTAACAAATTGCAGAAGTTCAGTCACAAAAACATTGAGAGCAGAATAACAAACAGCTGACTGTAGTTGTAGTAGTTTTATTAAGTACAACAGAGAACAATAGTCATATGTTGTAGAAAAATAAAACGAATAATGTTGAAATGTTTTGAGTAAATGTTAGAAAAGGTTAACAAACCTGAATGTTGATGAGGACATTTTGACTTTGAGTTATGATAAGTTTCTTATTCATCCTCAGAAAAGATGGACTTCAAAAGAAACATCTCGTAACATGTTGACTTTGACACAATATACGTTTTTGTCATTTCTTTTACGTTTTCAGAATATAACAATTTTTTTGTTCTCGTACATTCTCGACTTCATTCGCAAAATATTTTGACTTTTGACTGCATTGTCTTTTTTGTGTTTTCTTGTGACTGTCTTTTGTTCTTTCTTTTACTGATAAACAGTAAATTATTACTTTTGCCGATAATTTCTTTTTGTTTTGGGGTTTTTGCAGCTGAATAGCTGAACGTTTAAGTCCGTGTAATTGTTTTTGTTTGCTGTTTCCTTAATATTCAGTCAGTCACACTCATTTATAATTGATTGTGTATTTTTTATTTTATACTTTATACTTACTTTAATAAACAGTAATTTTTTGTCCTCAATACAGCGGCTTAAGTTCTTTTCTTAATGACCAGATAGAGACGAAACAAATGACAATAAATGAACCGTAGAAATAAAAACTCTTTTGTTTACATATTTAGTTATTTACACGTCTTCTTTACGAGGTGAGGAAGACTTAGATAAAGAAATGATGCAATAAACAGAAGATAAAAACAGGAAAGTAACAGGTGTGTGAAGCAGCAGCGTGACCTTTGAAGGTATCAGCCATCTGTTTGCTGCTGAAGAGGCTTCTCTATACATTCATTAGAAAGTGTGAAGGAGGATTTCTGTAATCTTCTATAAACCTTCTGTTCAGTGATCTGAGGATCTGATCCAACTGAAAACGTCATGCGACAGGTGATGTTTGTCGCTCCTCATCATCACTTTCTTCTTCCCTTTTGTGTTCCTCAGAACAAAGCTGCTTCCTGTTAAAACATCACTAAAGCAGAACCAATAGGAACCAACAGAACCACTGGATGTGTAGATGACGTCATGTGACTCCATCACCTGACACATGAACATCTGCATGTTGTTTTGGTTTAATGCTGCAGATGTTCTGCATCATGCTTTAAAGCCTCCACACAAAACCAACACAGATCAGAGTCTTAAATGCAGAAACAGTTCAACACGTTCAGTCTGTCAAAATAAAACACAGAAAAATGAAAAGAGGAAATCCAGTCTCTGTAAAACAACAGAATCAGGAAATACTCTCAGACCAGGGACACCTCACTACTGTCCTCGACAGCAGATGGTGAGACGGGAAAGAAACAAGGCGGGGTAAAAATAACAGAGCAGGAAAAATATAGCAAAGCGGATATTAAGACTTTAGAGAGAGAGAGAGAGAGAGAGAGAGAGAGAGAGAGAGAGACAGAGAGGCACCCAAACAAGAAGAAGTGAGCTGCTAATGGAAGAAGATCCGTCTGACCCAGAAACACTGAGACAGAATGTAACTGCAGGAAACTCCGAAAACTCTCAATGAAGAAAGCAGAGGAAGACATATGGAAGCCCATTACTGCCACTGTGAGGAAAAAATATAGATCCTGTAAGTCATTATTATGAGATACTATCACATTATAATGACTTAGTATCTCATAATTATGAGATACTAAGTCTATCTCAGTAGATGCAAATTTGCAACAGTTGCAGCAGTTTTTCAATAAAAGGTTTAATTAGATTCTCGCAGGCAGACGATCAAACAACAGGATCTATGACCCAGAGCGGCGTCTGGGGCTTTTATTGTGAAAGGTGAGAAGGAAAGATTGCATCAGAGCTTCCTTTGTCACGGTTGAAAGGAGTTTTCTGTCTTGGTTTGGACAATGGAGCCTTCACGTTGTTTCATAAATAACTCATCAAGTTCCACAACCTGATTTAATTTACAGTGCACAAGCTCACAAAACATCAATCCCCAAAACAATATGACGGCATGTGTAAAGACCTTAACTAGGTTGTTTTTGGAGCTTTTGATTAGTTTGGTTTATGAAAAACATCCAGGTTACTAAGTAAAGCCTATTAGCATAAAGACAGCTAACGGTATGTCCTCCTAGCAGCTCCTCTAAAACTCACCGATGAACACGTTAAATCTCATTTGTTGCCCGTCTGCATCTCAAGTAGACAAACACACTCTTTACTGGTCGATCTAAAAACGCTGCTGCTCGACTTAACAACAGTCACACACGTTACTTTCAAACAACCTTTTATGCATTTTAACAATTTAATGTCCAAACCCTTTTTTGTCATTTTAAATGTTTTCCAGCTCATCATCTGTTGAAATGTTTAACTGACACTAAAAATGAAAGCTTTCTTCCAAACACATTTATTTATTTCATCTGTAAAAGGAAGGTTTTCTGTCTGTGTAGCACTTTGAGCTACATAGCCTGTATGAGATGTGCAATACACATTATTATTATTGATAATTGTTAAATTTCAAACAAAAACAAAAATGTTCCCTTCATGTCAATCTGTTACTTGAAGGGATCACCGACGTTCATCCCGAGGGGACCATGAATATGTGAAGCTGGTTTCATGATGGTTGTTGAGATGTTTCGGCATTCCTCCAGGAGAGCGTTGACTTGTTTAAAGGAAGTGAAGTCACCTTCGGTCTTCAGCGGACTGGACCACGATGGCACCAAGCTGCTGCCATTCTTCTGAAACACAATGTGGACTTCCTGCACCCCTCCCCCGTCCGTCACAGCACCCACCAGAGACCTGGAGCTCCGAGCTCTAACTATTATTTCAATACGCCTCTAAATCCATCAGCACGCCGACAAATGAAAGAAACAGATGGAGAGAAAAGTTTGAGGGGAAAAATGAATTTTAGTCAGAGGACAGGAAGTGCCTCTCCCTGGTTCATGGAGACTTTCGGGGGCCCTCTGGGGCCTCCCAGGCCATTGTTGGCCCTGCTGGTCTCCTTCAGATGCTGAAACCAGCTTCTATCTCAGGATCTTTTTCCCACCACAGACCAACTGGAGCCGGTCACCACATCCTGCATCGACTCCTTCAGGGTGTGTTTCACTCCAATATCAACAATCACTTTGAAAACCAATGAAACAAGCCTGAAGTTGAATAGAAACTGTTTTTATGAAGCTGCTCTGCAGATAAAATCACTATTTCATGATCACGACATCAACCAAACAACAAGTTAACAGAGCAGCTGTGCTTTAAAATGATCAATAACAGAGAAAAGTCAGAAGCATCAAAAGGGCGGCGGCTTCAAGTTCAGCCACAAAACATCTGTCACCATCTGGATGAGATTTTTTTTCTGCTTGTGAGGCACAAAACTACCAGACTTCAATCTAAAAGTAGCTGCTGAAGAACAAACTCTCCACTTCTGAGAAGAGAGAACATCGAGGCTGTGATGAAAGCAGACGAAACAACCTTTTAACATTTGTGAAGAACTAAAAGTAAAAGATTCAGATTCAGTGTGTGATCAGATTTTGTTGGCTGAGAAGTCCGAGCATTTTCAATACATTTTCACCACCTGGACAAATAAAACAAAACAGCATGAAAACTTGAATGAAAGAAAAGCTTTAAAAATATTGTAGCGAAGTAAAAGGAGGCGTCATACATACACATAAAATATACGTTTCTATCTTTTGGATTTTCTTTAAATTGGACTTCAAGCATAATAATGATTAGTAGTTGAGCAGTTTTGAACAAACAAGTTGGACCACAGTTATTTATGGACAAATAAAAAACACCAAAATGTCCAGTTTCTCCATACATTGAAGAAAAACAGCAGCTTCTATTGTTTACCTTACTGTAAAAACATCAATCAAAAATCTGTAATTACAAAATCGGAAACTAAATGAAGCTGTCTAAGTGGGAGACAACATCTAAGTACAACAATCTTATTTATTTCTAAAATCTCTGACCAATTAACAAACTTTTCTTTTTAAAGACGGATATGAAGATTGAACCTCGTGACCTCCACATATCAGATTAATTTCCAGTATCAGGGAATAGCTGAACTTTGTGAGTTTTTAGCTGAGCTAAATGTTATGAATACAAACACACACATTAGAAAAACACTCATCATCATCACGTTAACATTATAACATAACTATAATTATCTTGAAACAGTAAAATGAGCAGCGTATTGATTATTGATACGTTTGTCAGACCAGCCTGATCTCATAGAAATTATGTTCATCACAAATACGTTTATACTTCGTTAGGTTGAGACAACTAAACTACTTAGTTAGGTTTAGACAACTAAACTACTTAGTTAGGTTGAGACAACTAAACTACTTAGTTAGGTTGAGACAACTAAACTACTTAGTTAGGTTGAGACAACTAAACTTCTTAGTTAGGTTGAGACAACTAAACTTCTTAGTTAGGTTGAGACAACTAAACTACTTAGTTAGGTCCAGACAACTAAACTACTTAGTTAGGTTTAGACAACTAAACTACTTAGTTAGGTCCACACAACTAAACTACTTAGTTAGGTTTAGACAACTAAACTACTTAGTTAGGTTTAGACAACTAAACTACTTAGTTTTGTTTTTATGATACTAATAACCGATCATTGATGATCCATATTAACACATTAAACTAACTCTAATGTCATGTTTCCATCATGTTGTTCACATCACCTAATCACTAATCACTAATCACTTTCTTCGTCTTCTGCAGTGTTTTAATGGTACAGACGGGAGGATTATCTACACCAGCTGTTTATCTCAATGTATTTAACTCAAAAGAAAGAAACGATTGTTTCAATAAACCAGAATTAAGTCTCTGTGAATTCTGAACAGATCTCAAAATGAAAAGTCCTCCTAGGAGAAGGAGAGAGGACACCTTGCTGCCCAGTATGTACTAACATGCCACAACCTGAGGGACAGCAGGTGACGCTTTGGCGATGCCGTTCCTGGGCGTTCACGCCAATGGAGCAGATCTGAGTTTGGGTTGAATTGGGAGAGAGACGGAGAGAGAGAGAGATCTATCTATCCGTGGATCTCTCTCTCACTTCGCTCCTCCCTTTGCTTCGGTGTCAGAGAGCTGCGGTGGCCTACAGGTAACGTGGGAGCAATGGAGGCTCTGTCTCACACCACTTTATGAGATGTTGTATTAATATTATTGTTATATTGATATTGTTGTGTATTGATGTTATTGTATGTTTCATTTTTTGATGCTTTGGCAATACTGTTTCTAAACTTTCATGCCAATAAAGCAAATTTGAATTTGAATTTACTGAAACTCTTCCTGTTGGCCTCATTGCTGCTCACAGCTTTAGTTTCATGAGTTTTTTACTTCAGCAGGTAGCAGGAATGACTCCCACCAGATTCCAGTTCCAGCTGCAGGAAACAGAAAGGTCTCAGTGTGTAACGAGCTTTACTGCCTCCCGGCAGCTCTGACTGACAGCGTCCTCCACATCCAGCCTCATTACCGACTCACACACCTGTCAGCAGGTGTTAGTCTGCTGACAGGTGTGTGAACCGAGACTCTGCTGTCTGCTGGCTCTAATGAGCAGCTCTGGTTTGAGGAATTCGTTAGTGTGTCAGCTGCGATTCATAATTGGCGTTAGAGTAAATTAATGCTAAAGACTGTAGTAAATTAAGTTGGACCAACAGAATTGCTTGATGCTTAAAGAAAGCAGTTTAATCGTGTGGAAATAATTTCAATGATTGTATTAAGTTTGTTGAAAGTGGGTTTTTTGAGTGTAGTATGAAGATAAAGTTTACCATGAATGTTTCATAAAGTGTCCTCCTGATGTCTGAAAATCTTTGACCACATCTTTTCTTCATTAACAGTGTGACTTATCTGTGTACTTCCTGTTTGAATGCAGAGAGACGACTGTAGTTTGAGAAGAGGAAGTTAATGAGAACAACCTTTGACCTCACAGGATGGTCTGTGTTGTTTCTACCTGACATCACGTTTTCAGCCATCTTGAAACAGAACTACAAAATGCACCACTATTTCCACCCCAGTTGGAGGAGGTGATGATCCAGAGGTGTGATCCAGGTCTCTCTAGACTCTGCAGACCTTGAGTCCCGATGACAGAACAATCACTCGTCTGCAGGAGAGTCGTTTCAACGTTTAGGTAAAGGGTGCGTAGGAAGAGAAAGCAGCTTCCTGTTCTCCGGCCGATCCCTTCTGATCTGTGCCGACTCTCCGTCTCTTTGCGTGCCAGGCCTTCACCGGCTGGGAGTCTGGGGTGTGTTTAAAAAGGGTGGAGGAAGGGGTGAGGAAGGGGTGAGGAAGAGGTGAGGCTGCCACCGTGTTGCACCCCAGCTGGTCACTGTGTTACAGGAAGGGAAGGGAGGGTCGGGATTTCCCCTCCGAAACCGTCTGCACACGAAGCAGCACAGAAACACAAATATCATTATTTGTATCATTATTTACCCACAAATTATTATCCAACAAACAGGTAAGTATCTCAAACTGGATAAACTGGGAGAGTTAATGGAAATATCTCTCACCCCAGCAGCTATTGGCCGTGGCATTGGTTTTACATTTTTGTGCTGTATCTCAACTAATCTTTCATGAATCTGGCACAGATACCCAGGGACAAATAAGTCATGATAACTTGATCCTCTAACTTTTTTACTCCGCCATCAGTTAAACATATTAACGTGTCCAAAGTGGACCAAAAGGTATTAAAGACACCTTTAAAACATTCACCTTAACGGCTGACTTTGGACCAGGAGACAACCTTCGGTTCTGCTGAGTGAAGCCGATCCTTCATCTCTTAAAGCTGCATTCTCTCTAGTGACCACCAGGGGGCGACTCCTCTGGTTGTATAGAAGTCTATGAGAAAATGACTCTACTTCTCTCTTGATTTATTACCTCAGTAAACATTGTAAACATGAGTTTATGGTCTCAATCTCTAGTTTCAAGTCTTCTTCAATACAGCATGATGTTCATTTAGTACATTATGGTCCATTTAGAGACAGAATCTTTAACCAATCACATTTATCACAGTTCAGTTCATCGTTTTTGGTAAAAACACAAATAATGTTAAATCGAAGCTGAATGTTTCTATCTTGAAAGCACTTCACACCTTTGTGTTATAAAGAAGTCATGAGACAGCATCTCTTCATCAGCTGTGAGGCGTCTCAGTGTTGAATGAGAAGAAGCTGAACCTCCTCCAGAGTCTGAAGATCCAGCGAGATGATGCAACACTACATCCTCCCTCCCTCCCTCCCTCACCCCCCCCCCCCTCTCTCTTTATCTCCCTCTCTCTCTCCCTCCTCCATCTATGTCTCTCCCCCTCCTTCCACATTCCCAGGATGCTGCACATCAGTGAGGATAAAGTTAGCACTGCAGAAGTGACAACTCGTAACCGTTAGCCGTCGGCACCACCGGCTTCTGCACCAAATGACGCAATCCCCCCCCCCCCCCCCACCCCCCACTTTATTATCTGGTGGTGTGTCTGCGGGACGCTAGGCAACATAAACACAACTAAATATAACAGCTCTAACTTTACAGTCGTCCTCGACCTGCTCTCAAAACAAAATCCTCAGTGAGACAATTAGAAAGAAGTCATTTAAATCTTGAGTTTAATAGAACAAATACATCTACTGACATAGAATAAATAAGATGAACCATCAGTTAAACAGTTCAACTTTAACACAGTGGAATACATTTGGATCATAGTGCACAATAGCTAAAACATATAACATGCATATCAGAGGCGAACCCTGTTTGTGAGCTCAGTATTCAGAACGTTTCTTTTTTTAAATCTTTTATTCTGCAATGAGTTCGCCATTAAAGGTAGTCCCCTTAAAAGATCGAATGTTTGCAGACGATGCAGCATGTTTTCTCTCAGAGGAACGTTTCAGACCGCTGAGCTCACAGATGGAGTTCATCAGAGATGAAGAAACATCAGAGTACCTTTGTCTTTTAATAGCTTATTTGCAGATATTCTGTCCGTCGATGAGCTTTGGAGGGATTCAACTAAACATGTTTATTATCAAATGTTTTTTTTTGAAGAATCAGTTTGTAGAATCGATTATTAACCTCATCGTCCATCGTTCATCATCCATCGTCCAGTCTGGAGTTCAAAGCCTCCATAATCAATTATTTTCTGTCGTCCTTTATTCGAAACCACCGCAGTCTCTCGTCCTCTGAGGCATCTGCAGAGTCCTCACCGCCTGCAGCGAGCACAAGTTCATAAGTTCATTAACCTTTTAGTCAGCATGGTGCTTTCAGGTTCATTTTAACCACCAGACTTGAACTTGAACTCCCCTGCTGGCGATCAGGCCACGCAGTACCCCTGGCTGGCCATGAGGGCGGTCTGGCTCTCCCTCCGTTTGTCCTTCTTCTTCCTCCTCAGTCGGACCCTCCAGCATACGGCGCTGGACCCCAGCAGGCCCAGTCCGGCAGACAGCAGCACCAGGCCCAGCACCGAGATGGTGGACCCGTGGGAGTTAAAGGTGTACGCCACCGCCGTGACCACGATGCCAGCGATGAGAACGACCACGCCGAACGGCACGGTGCAGCGGTAGCAGGACATCTCGGCGCCGCCGGTTGCCGCAGTCAGCTGGACCTCGTTGACGTGCGGGACGTGCGTCGTCATGCCGCTGCTGCCACGGTCCTTACTGGTCTTGTCGTGGCTCGGCTTCTCGGCGGAGACGGAGGTCGTCGTCCTCGCGGCGCTCCTGGGGATCCTGGCGCCGCCTTTGCTGTGGAGGTCATCCGGCATGGCGATCTTACTAGCGAGAAAGAGGTGGGCCATCTCGTTACGGATGTCAGTGATTAGCCAATCACAGAGCAGCTAGCTGAGAACAGAGAATGAAAGATTCTGTTGTTTAGACACAACTACGGTGGCCTGTAAAGGACTTTCTTATTTTTGTTTTTTTACAGAGTATAAAACGTCTTCAGTGTGCAAGTCAAGTTTCTTTAAAAGTTATAGTTAATCTGCTGTTTGTCAAACCGTAGCTGCTACATTAGCTATAAGTCTATAGCTGTATCATTTAAATATTTGTAACTCTTGAATTCATCTTTCTCAACTGTTTTCCATCAGTCGGCCGAAAAACAAGATTAATTATGTTGTTTTTGCATCAACAACAATCATGAATTGTCCCGTTGCCTTTTGACTTCGACCTCTCGACGTGACATGGATCGATTTCACAGAAAAATGATTAAACTAATAATTAAGACGGTTCAGAGGAGAAAACCTTCAACGTTTGGTGACATGAAGCTTTTTACAGAAACACCAGGTTCTCGTCCACAATGCATCCGCTGAGCCTCCGTGACGTCCTGCTGTCGTTAGCCTTAATGAGACTCAGATGAAGTGTCGCGGCTTCAAGAACAGAAGATCCTGAACCAGGATCCATTAGAAATAACCTTTCTCATTAAAAGTCCTCCGAGACCTAAAAACCTGCAGAATTCACTGCAGCAGCAAAACATGAAATACATTTAAATAAATTACATTATATTAGAATACAATAAGAAGTGAAAGTTAAAGTAAGGCTGCTGCTATAAAGAGGTATTTTCAATACGTTTGACATCTTCAGCGTGTTGGTTAATAAAGTAAATGAGTGATACGTCTAAAAACACATTTCTATCTGATTAATGTAAATGAATCTAATGAACTATCTGACAGTCTGCAGCTTCATGCTTTTATTGAGTCTTAAACTATAAACTGGACTTTTCTGATTTAATTATCAAAGACATCAAAGTGATTATTGACATATATAAATATATATCTGGCTCTTCTTTGCTCTGTATTGTAACATCTGAGCCGGTCTCTGCAGGTTAACTGTGCAGCATCGGTCACCATGAGGAGCCGTGTGACCGACCTCGCTTTAAAGCACGAGTTAAAAACCCAAAGACAGCTGGGTAATATTCAAATGATTGTTTGACAACAAACTAATCATTAATGCTCTATTTCTATTATTGTGTCCAAGGCTGCTAATATGTCTTTAATATGACCACCATGTTTAATCTGGATTATCTCAGTCCACCTTAAATAGTGTCCAACTGTGTTCCTTAAAACGAAACGTCTAAAGTTCATCTCTAAACGTTACTCGTCCTCCGTCTGCAGAAAAACTGAAAGGTTTCAGAAAATGAATTCAGATTCATTTAGTGTCCCGTCCTCTGACGTTGATTTCATATTTTATTTAGAGAATACTGTAAACGTCTGAGTTCACTCAAACACAGGAAGATGTTTATCTTGTGAAACGATGAGAAAAAAGGGTCAAACACATCACGACTGCTTTAAATCTGTTCTCAGATCTCTGAGAAATCTCTTTGAATGAACATTTTCTTTAAACATTGCAGGATAATAATCAGCCACAGAACGTTATTTCAGAAACTCAGCGTGACTTTTATTTGTCTTCATTTTTGTACAAATCCAGTTTGTGCATAAAATCTTGTCTCTTCATTTGTGTTTAAAATAACATTCTGAGCATAAATGGAAAAAAATGTAATTTAAGTTGTGAACCAAAGTCAATCAGTCTATAATTATAAAATACCGTCATTGTTACACAGACTGTGAACTTATTCATACAAACCTCCTTCAATCTGTTAACTTTAGATTTATGGCTCTAAAGAGAGCTTCAAGAACATTTGGAGGTTCACCTCGCTGCTCTGAGATCAGCCGTCTGTGATGATGAAAGACTGCAGAGCACACACACACACCCACACACACACACACACACACACACACACACACACACACACACACACATTAACATTAGAAATAGAAACCCTTACTGTTGCAGCTCTTCATCCTCTGAGCTCCACAGGCCGTCTCTGCATCGTCCTGACTGCAGGAATAAATGAGGGAATATAGCTATCAATAGAAAAAACTGGGGGACTCCCCCCCTCCTCCCCCCCTCTGTACCTCCTCTTGTACCTCCTCCTGTACCTCCTCCTGTACCTCCTCCTGTACCTCCTCCTGGTCCAACAAGAAAAGTTTTAACTCTTTCCTCCCTTCAGCTGGTGCTGAAAACACACTCATGTCCCATAAAGTAACTTCACGTGTTTCCTAAACCTCCTTCATTGATGCAAACTCCCTTAAAAACATCTTAATTACACATTTAAATACACCTTAAATACACCTTAAAAACACCTTAAATACACATTTAAATACACCTTAAATACACCTTAAAAACACCTTAAAAACACCTTAAATACACATTTAAATACACCTTAAATACACCTTAAAAACACCATAAATACACATTTAAATACACCTTAAATACACCTTAAATACACCTTAAAACACCTTAAATACACATTTAAATACACCTTAAATACACCTTAAAAACACCTTAAAAACACCTTAAATACACATTTAAATACACCTTAAATACACCTTAAATACACCTTATTTTTCCCTTTCTTATACCTTTATATCATGAGGGTTAGGATTATGAAGCAATATTTGGGGTCAACCTTGTTAATAGGATGCATTTTACATCTTATATTCATTTCTAAACACTTGTTCTTCTTCTTCCTCACGACCCAAAACATGAATCCACAATAAGAGGAAACAAAAATATACAAAAGTAGAAACTAAGCGGCATTTAAAATGAAGAAATTTCAGTTCACTTCAAAAGGAAATCACTGAAATCAGAGGATTCACTCAGTGAAGAGAAGGATTCAAGGATTCAAGGAGTCAAGGATATTGTCATGATGCAACACAAGGATGCTCAATGTAATGAACAGCTGTCGTCGATCTGCAACACAAGAAAAATAGGACAAACAAAGTAAACAACAGATGTTCTGTTGACCGACATCAAGCTGCGTCTTTCTGTCTTCTTCTGATTTCTTCTCCCTGAATCCTCCTGCACCCCCCACCCCCCCACCACAGGAGGCCTCCACCCTCAATGTGAACCCTGAAACATCTGTAAACATCTGTAAACATCTGTAAACATCTGTAAACATCGTATTATTCTCTGACGCCTCCAAACAGCCCCGGTCTCTTGGTCCTCGGTGGTCCGATGAGTCTCTGCAGGCGACAGAAGTCTGTTTCTGTCTTCACAGTAAATGTTTGTCCCTGTTTTTAGAATCTCTTCTGATTCTTATTGTCTCTTTATAGCAGAATTCATTCAATCAACTAAAATATGATGAAATATTTCTGTTGAAAACCTTTTTTAACGACAAAAACGAGACTAAAACAAAGAAGAACATTTCAGAATGAGGACAAATAAAAACGAAACAACAGAGTGAAAAACAGACAAAATAAACTATAACTATATTACAATCATAATTATGACTTTTAATTATTAAATGACTTCTGAAATAAAACAATCTGACAGTTTGAATCGTTTCAAACATTTGAAAAGGTCACAAGCTTTACTTATTCCTCAATGGTGGGTCATGTGATCAGTCAGCTGCAGGTAGTCCTGGCCCTGGTCCTGGTCCTGGTCCTGGTCCTGGTCTCACCTCTCTGACAGCTCTCGGTGCAGCTGCAGCCCGACCAGCACAACGGGAAGTTACAGTCCTACTGTTTTTTACATGTGGTTCCTCTGACCCCAGAGAGGACAGGGTCTGGATTCTGGGTCCCTGCAGGTCTAAAGTCCTCCACAAACAGACGCAGGTGCTGAAGCTGAAAAAACGCCGTCAGATTTAAATCTCCACTCCAGAGTCCAGCTGGGAACATCTGGACTCGTTTTCTGACCCTGAGCTTTTTGGCTGTTGCCGATGAACCTCTCGGAGGTCAGCGAGGGGGGGGCTTTGATCCGGATCGAGGGGGTCACCAGCGCCCGAGAGAGGAGCAGGAGCCCCGAAACCCTGAGACCTGGTGAGAGACTCAGATCAGTCTATTAATGTTTTAATATCAGCCTGAAGGTTCTCATGAAAACATGGAGGACTTCATTAGACCTGGACCAGATCTAAACCCCGTCTCTGTGTGTAGCTGACGTGAGTGGAGAT